AAAAAGAAAAAAAAAAAAAAAAAGCGCATTTTCCGGCAGCCCGCGCAGAGCTGAGCCTCGCCCCGAGCGCACGTACTCAGGCATCATCAGCTGTCAAGCTACTGATCTGCTTTGCTCTCCCCAGTCATTTTCTACACCACGCCTAGGTGAGCTATATTTTAGCATCATCATTTTGGCGCCGTCTGTGGGAACGATGCAAACCAGATCACGTAGCCAACAAGATCCTCCTGAGGCGTCTGCTCTGAGAGAAAATGACACAGCTAACGACCTCCCACCTCGTGGAGGCTCTGGCTTGCCACCTCCTCCACATCCCATGGATCCGCCTCGCGAGGTTCAGGTGATCCCCCCTCGGGACCCACCACTCGCCGATCCACCACTCCCTGCTCCTCGAATGGTTCAAATAACCGAGGATGCGCTTCAACGCATGATAGCAGAAGCTTCAACTCGCGCTGTCACAGAGGCCGTGACCCAATATATCGCCACGATGGGAGCAGATGCTCCCAACGCGATACCAGCACTTGCTCCACATGTGGAGCCACCTATGGCACCACCGCCATCGACTCCATGGGGGCTTACATCGCCCCCAAAATATTTCTTTCGCCAAGGGTTATCGACTCCCTGGGGGATTACATCTGCCCCCAAAATATTTCGCTCGCCAAGGGTTATCGACTCCCAGGGGCTTACATCTGCCCCCAAAATATTTCGCTCGCCAAAGGTTATCGACTCCCTGGGGCTTACATCGCCCCAAAAATATTTCGTTCGCCAAGGGTTATCGACTCCCTGGGGGCCTACATCTGCCCCCAAAATATTTCGTTCGCCAAGGGTTATCGACTCCCTGGGGGCTTACATTTGCCCCCAAAATATTTCGTTCGCCAAGGGTGATCGACTCCCTGGGGGTTCACATCGCCCCCAAAACATTTCATTTGTCATAGCAGGAGCCAACGCTCCTCCTCGTGGGGCCCCACTGGGTCCTTAACATGATCAATTTCTACTTATTTCTCGAACGGTTCAGATAACCGAAGAAGACCTTCAGCGTATGATCACGGAAGATTCAACCCGTATTGCCACTGAATCAGTGGCACCATATATCGCCAAGGTTGGGCATCTCACCCCAGTGGTTTGTGATCGCCTCATCCTAAATGGGGGCTATCCCATCCTAAAGTTGGGCATCTCGTCTCAAGGGTGGTACATCCACTGACCTTTCATCCCCAAGGGGGTGCACATGCCATCTCAAGGAACGAGGATAATCTTCCCACTCAAAAAATAGAACATCCCCAAGGGGGTGCACATCCCATCTCAAGGAACGAGGATAATCTCCCTACTCAAAAAATAGAACATCCCCAAGGGGGCGCACATCCCATCTCAAGGAACGAGGATAATCTCCCTACTTAAAAAATAGAACATCCCCAAGAGGGGTGCACATCCCATCTCAAGGAACGAGGGTAATATCCCTATTC